ATATTTTCTTTTTTTTTCTTTTGAGAAAGTAAGCATACCTATTACTCATAGTTATGTCACGCGAAGAAATTGAGAAGAGATTTAGTTTAAGAACTATGACAACCTGCCAACTTGGGATAACTTCACTAACCAAAAATAAGGCCCCATAAAGTAGAATCTGTGACTGACCCAACCAAAACAGATCTCATGCAATACCTCAGGACATAAAAACTCAACTTAATTTTTTTCTTCCTAACGAAATTCAATAATCTAATGGACAATTAGACTAATAATCTAATAATCACCAAGGTCCTTGAAGATATTGGAAACATTAAAGCAGCCAAGCATTGCAAACTCAAGAAACAGAAACGGTAATAAGTATGAATCTGGCAAAACAAAGTCAATAAGGATAGGTTACCTTCACAAGAGCACCAATGACCCCTAAGCTAGTAAGCCGCAAGTACTCAAAAGGCCTTGATTTGCTTGTTGTGTTAAGGAAAGGGTACAGGTACAGAGGTATGTGAGCTGCAAAAGAAAAATTGCTGGTTGGGAGCACTGGGCATTCTTTAAATTTACTAAACGAGAGAATATATGTATCGTCATCTGGTTGATAGAATAAGATCATCTCTCTAAAACTCAGCTGTTGGAACCCAAGCCAGATGAATACGAAGAAATGACCATAAGCTGATAATATCTAGGATGCCCAAAAAAACTGTTGTTGAACCTAAAAAAGTTGGGCTCAACAATCATCTTAAATAAACTAGCATTTCAGATATTGAAAATACCTTATTATGCAAGGAACAAAAAAGATCAAGACATTCAGTTGATAGACATGTATTTTCCGAAAAGGAAACATATTATGTATTCACAGAGACACCAAGAAGGTGTCACCTGTACTAGGTATTTGACAAAATATCCACCACCACCACCTAACTCCCCCTCATTGGAGAAAATGGACTCGAAACAAAGAATATCTAATCCTGTAAAAAGGAGGAACAATATCTTGAAAGGCTCTTTTGTTTCTTTCGAGCCATCCATCCCAAAGATAGCTAAAGGAACAATGGATATAATTCTGTTCCATTCCTTCAGAGCTTGAATAACATCCCAGTAATTCAACAGAGACAGAACCCCAACTAGACATAACACCCAGCTCAAAAGCTTTGTTCCGGATAGATGTCCCAACTAGACCACATGCTCATTCCATTTTGTTTAAAACTCTGGAACAAGATAGTATCCATGCAATTGAACCTTCTGTAAGATGCAGCATGAACAAATTAAACATTCTGCAACAACAAGCTTTATTGAGAGTATATATTATTGAATCAAAGATGACAGAGCATATTAATTACAGTTATTGGCTTCCTCCATTACTAATTTATTAATGACTAACACTGCCACTCTAATTGGACAGGGTTATGACATGCATTTATATGACACTCTCAAGCTGCAGCAAGAACAAGTAAAACCAACAAAATAGTAAAAAATTTCTCAAACAGTTTAAAAAGAAAGAATCCAGAAAACAGTTCCTATCAATAAATTAATATTTAAGGCCAGTGTTAATGCTTAATGAATGCAGTATGTGACAAGATAGCATGTGATAAGATCAATGTTATTACCATTGAGGAACAACATCCTTGTGTCTGGATGAGAGGCTACACACTGAAACAACAGATAATAAAATTGTCATGTTATGTACTCCTTTTTATTCTCAATAAACAATCAAATAAACAAAATTGCCATGCATCACTAATGCCTTCATTTATTGATTCCCATAGTGATATAAAAATATCATGTTCAACCGCACACAGAAGTTATAGTATGGAAAATTTTTGAAATGAGAATTTTCACCTGAAGAAGTGCAAGGGCATTACAAACTCGATTTGATTGAGCAGGAGTCAGATTTGGAGGTGAAAGAACAGGATATATTGAAACAATCTCCTGCAAGAGGGAGGAAATTCAAGCCAAGCAAACAAAGAAAATGAACACCCAGGTGATCAATCATTCAGCTGCCAATTTTTAAAGTCAACAGCTAAGAAACAAACTAAATTATGCAAAACACGGTAACAACCACTTCTATCAGAAAACTAACGAACAATCACTGGTATCTCATCTGGCATCCAGGAGAACGATCAGCTACTTAGCTCCCCAGAAAAGATCGAAGAGGAAAACCAAAGTTGTATGAAGCAATCACATGCGAGGCATTAAACCAAGAAAAACAAAAATGCTAGTAAAGCGCTCGGTCAATGATTACTTTTCTATAGTTCATCTGGTTGCAGGTAAAATTTGCAAGTCTTGGAGATATCCTAATAAATCTTAATTCCTCATCCCGTTTCCTTCCTTTTTTTTACAGAAACAAAATTACATTACTCAAATCGCACATACAGGATGCCTATTTTCCACCCTAAATTTGCCAGCTTATAACAACATACCTAGGAAGAAATATTAACTGGTTAAAAATGTGTCGTAGGGAAGGTGGAAAAGAGCATCAATATCTTTGGAAATAAGACGAAAGGAGAGGAAAGAATTGGGGCAATTTGATCTTAGCAAACTATTTAGCTTCCCTCATTGAATCCTTTCCATTACTACATTCTACCTCAACTAATATTTTTTTAGCGAGGACCAAGTTCTCCGAGAAAAGGGAAATTCATTGTTGAACCAAAGGGGTGCCAACATCATTAAACAGTTTATAGTTTTTCAAAAACAAAATATCAAATATTTCAAAAATAAAAACCCGCCCTGCCTTGGATCGGGAGAACTTTCCATTAGATACAGAAGTCCTTGACCAACAATCCAGTATGGCAGCAAAAGAGGATTGCGGTGAGGACCAAATAACCCAAATTCCACTCTGATTCCCCTCCCACAAACAGACCCTGAATGTACATGACACAGTGTTATCAGACAAATGTGACCAAGCATAGGGAGCTTACCTGTAACAGTGCAGCAATAGTACCAAAAGAATTCCACAACAATGGAGCCAAATCTTGAAATAATTCTCTCTTCTAAAATAAAACAAAAACAAGTTTATTAGGCATACCTGTAACAGTGCAGCTATAGTACCAAAAGAACTCCACACGAAAGGAGCCAAATCTTGAAATAATTCCTTGTTCTAAAAAATAAAACCAAAGGCAGACACTAGTTTATGAAGGCACTATGCAAATGTTTAACAGCTATATTGCACAACAATATAACGGGGAAAAAAATAGCAAGAACAAGTCCAAGAAAAGAAGTAATTCAGCCATTACACATAAATGGTTCTACAGCAATCTACTTAAGAAATTATTGAAGTCCAAAAGATAAGAAAGAAAGAACAATTTGAAGAAGAAAAAAGAAACAATAAAAATATTGAAACCAAACATTTGCTTTAAGTAAAATGTAATCATTATGCAAGTGAAATAATGAAGTAAAAGCAAATATAGGACAATATGCAAATACAACCAATTATGGAGACAGTTTAATATGCTTTTTTAGCACATGAAATTCTAAGATAAACAGTTTGGAATTTTAAATACAAAATGATTTCATGTCCTATTTTTCTTGTGTGCTTCACTTTCTAGGATTGTGGCAGGAACATAAAGAGAATAGAACATAAGTATTAAGAAAACACATAAGGCAAAGAAGAAGCAATAACAATTGTCTAGTTTTCAATTGACCTATCTCGACTTCTTATTAAGTTTCTTGAATTGAGCTGTCCCGAGTTATCATGGCATGATACCCTCGTGCTCCATTTGGGAGTGAGAAGAAATGGAGAGGACAACATTAGGAAGGCATTTGATAATTTAACCTTGTTTTGGATCTCATTCTATAATGGAGCAAAAGGAGCCACTATTTCTCCGATGGAAGACCTATCCTTAATGATTCTTTCAAGCTCAGTTTTTTTATTAATATTAAAATCCTTAACTCTCCCAGGGGAAAAAGTTATGCATTCAATTCATTTGCTTCCTTCTCAAACAAAGAAATATATCAATGTATATGTGTTATTTTACATAAAATTCCATTCATTCTCATTTCCTTACTTACCCGCCCATCCCCCTCTGCCACCACAAACCCTTGAAAGACTACCTACTTCCTGTGAAAAAGAACAAATTTCAAAACCTAAAAACCAAAGTTTCCCCAACCAACACTACTGATTATTGTCCTCGAATTCTCCTTGCTGTAGCTTTTAGCCACCACATTTTTTTAATATTAACTGGCACATCCTCATATCTCAGTCCACATCATCCAGTTCAAGTCAAAACACAAATTCCATACTCCGGTCGTCCAAATATCCAGTAACCAGAGCACCAAGTTCCCACATTTTTATACATATAACAAAAAGAAAACACATTTCAAAAGATATAACGCGATCATTCCCTTTTCATCATCTGAAACACCAACATAAACCAGATAAACCAGACACCAATGGCAAATAAACTCAATAAACTATTTAGTTCCCACCAGGTGATGTCTGTACTTCACATCCATTACTTTCTGCCACACATATTACATGCCCTTCCTAGCAATACCAGTTTCCCAACGTTGATTGTCCGAGGACCAAGAACCAAAACTCAAACTAAAAATGAAGCCCGACTTTCCCAAACCTCATGCAAAACAACGAAGGAAAACCTAAAAAATCCTAACAATTGCTTCACCGATCAAAAGCAATTCAGTAGCAAAACGAAAAAGAAATAAAAATTCAAAGAGATACATTCTTCAGAAACTTATAAATTACCTTCGATAGCTCGAGAAGAGCGTTTTCTCTGAGATCGGGATTGCTTAGATCGAGCACCAAGTGCTCTGCCGACGCCATCTTCCGGTCTTTGTTAGCGGGAGCACCGGCGGCGCTAGGTCCGGCCGTGCTAGGTCCACCAAAGGGAGAATTCATGCCGGACAGATTTTGAGGAAGGTTGGCCATTCTGTTTGGTAGGGAGAACTTGTTGAGATTGGTTTGTTTAGACAGAGAAGAGAGCCTGCGGACTATAAAAGACACATACTTGAGCTTCCGCTTTTAGAAGTACTGGACACGTGACCTACATGCGCGTCCGCACTGGAGGCAGTTGTCTGATTCTGAGAGGACGTATATACACGCGCCGCCCAGAGAGGCCTTGAACATGCGTTACATGGGTTTTTCACTTTTATTATGAAAAAAAAAATATTGAGATATATATAATTGTTATTTGTATTATTGTTATTATTGGCGAAAAAATATAATTAAAAACTTATAAATATATGTATTTCAATGGTATTCTTTTAAAAATTTAAATATATTATAATATTTTATAAGAAATAATTCATTTTAATACATAACGAACTTATTCAAAAATATATTCATTTCTACTTATTTTTCATTCAAATTTTTAATTTACAATTTGAAATTTGTACGTTATACTGAAATATATGACATATGAAAATAGTTCATTAATGAAAGTGTACTCCCATGGGGGTAAAACGACGGCGTAGTAACGTCAATATATTTAATATTAATAATTAATTTTTTTTTAATTATTAATATATAAAATATATGTGTGTGTGACGTTTCACTATTAAAAACGTATATAAATGTATTATATGGGTTGTTGGGAACTTTATCATATAATAATATAAAAAAAAAATTATCTTTATATATTTATATAAATATAAAAAGTATAACTTTTAATAAATTATATTTTTTAATATTTTATCTATCATTTATTTGAATATATATATTGATCAGTATTTATATAAATTTATAAATAAATATATTAATTATTACGTGTCTAAAATAAATTAATAAAATATTTAAATTCGAAATTTGTTAAATATAAAAAAATATGATTAATAGTTAATTATAATTTAAGTAATACTAAATTTTCTCCCATATTAATTACAAATTAAATCATGAGTATGTGTGTATTAATTTTGTTAATTGCTATATAATCTTATTCATAGTGGAAGACAACTCAGAGAATTATGAGTTTTATATTTTTAACTAATTTGGGGAATCCATACATAGAATTTCAATGTTATATACAATATTTCATCCCTTCAAATAAATAAATAATTAATTAATTGTGAATTATATTCTTATCCACATGATTTTGTATAGTTTATTTAAGGGAAAGGGTATTATATACTACTAATAAACACTCAATAAATTTAATCTTAATAATAATAATAATATTAATGGACACTTGATAAGAACATGCTACATATTTTTTGAACCAAACATGTTATGTGTATATAGAACATGTTTAATAATATTACATTTTAATTCACGGATTACAAGATTACTAATATTATTAAAGTTATTTATAATCGTAATATTAACAGTACAATAACAATTAAAATGCATGTATTGATTTTATTTTTGAATGTATTATAATCAAATTAATTATAAAAATCTTATAATTGTTGAAATTTTTATTAACAAGTGGGTTTAATGCGAGTTTTAGTGTACGTAACAAGTTATCAATTTATTTTAACTATTTACAAGTGATCAATTACGGTTAAAAAATTATAGATCTTAATGTATAATACTTAAGTATGGATTTATAATATATACATATATTATATTTATAATTTCTTATTTTATGATGGGTAAATTGAGAAATAACAAAATTCGATAATATAAAATGCGGTTATGATACAAAAATTACGTTTGTATTTTGTTTATTTAATATTTTTATGTCAGCAGTAAAAATAAATTTTTACAGCCGCATGTTGATTTTGAAAATCTACCATAAAATAAGAAAATTTATTTCGTTATAGATTCATATGTGTTTTCGTATTTATTCTATTTGATTCATTACGAGTTTGTTCACAGTTTTTTGATATAATTTGAATTGATTTCCATCATTAACTACCCTACATATGATAAATAACATGTATTATAAAAATTGATAAATAAAGTACCATAATAAGAATAAAATATATGAAAATATGATTAATATGTACTAGTCATATATGTATTTATAACTCCAAATAAATAATACATTTGGCAAACTATATTGCAATTATATCAAATCTGATCCACCGATTCTCTATTATTTTATTTCTTAAAAATATTTTATAATTTTTTGTTTTAAATTAAAAAATAAAAGTTTATTATATATTTAACCATAATAAATATCTTATATTATTTTTATAAATTTATTTAGTTACCTAAACACATATAGTAATTTCTCTATTTATTTTCGCATTCAAAATTTTATATTTTATATTCAAATATTGTGATATAAATACAAATACTCTTATTCTATCTGTCCATCTCACCTCATCCCAACCGTCCACTTCCTCTTTCTACAAACGACGTCATTTTACCTCTGAAATTCTCACCCTATCTATACATCTATACATACATGCCAATTTTTTTTTTCTAATTATTACAAGTATAAATACAAATACTCATGTGATATATAGTATGTTTACTATTAAATTTTAAAAATATTATTAACATATCTGTTATGTAACTGCCATATCGACAATCATTTTTCATGTTTTTTTTATATTTTTAAATAATTGTGTATTAAATAAATATTACACCGAAATATTTTTTAAAAATAATTTTTATATAATAAAGACAAATTTTAATTTATTTATTTTCCAATAGCGTTACCCATTATAGGAAAAGGCATTATGTATGGTACAGAAAAAAAAAAAAAAAAAAAACATATTTTGGTGAACGTTCACAAAAAGCTCCTAAACAATGTATCCGGACAACATTATAATTTGCTCTGAAACATTTATTATGATGAATCTATACATATATGATTTCATATTTATAACTCAGTCCAAAATATTTTAAAAAATTAATTAATATATAAAATATATATTTCCACATATAATTAAGATACCCAACTTTTTATTGATGACTAAATATAAGAAAATATATGCTTTTGCAGAGAAATATAAAATTTTCAGATTAACCCATTAATTAAGAATTATGAAATAATTAATTTGTATGTTTTAAATTAAAAATGATGGTTCTTACTAATTAAGATAGTCAAATTCTTTTTTTTTTTTTAATTTATTGTTTGGTGTTTTTAATTTTAAATATATATTTAAAAAATACTATTAGCCACAGAATATATATATATATATATTATGTAATTAAATTTAATAATATTTCACGAAATTTTTTAACAGGAACGAAAAGTTCGTGGCCGCTTGTGAGTACTTTTAGCCGCTCCCCGCACATTTTCTCTCTCGAATCCAACTCTCTCGATCGACTCGTCCTTCTCTCTCTCTCTCTCTCTCTCTCTCTCTCTCTTCTCTGTGATTTTTGTTTCTAAATTTTAATTGATCGATTTCGCATCAAAATCTATAAGCGCTTCAACTCGATTTCTCTGGCAAAAGAACCGATTTGGGGTCCATCTACTTTATCGGGTTTGTTAATCGTTTATGTCTTCGTTTCGCAAGTTGTCTGCTGCTCCATTTTCTGTTATTTGATGCACGCTAGGAGGAGAGAAAGGACAGGTCCAGAGCGTTAGGGTTTGTGAGCTTCCCGTTTAATTCAAACTCGGTTGTTACGTAAGTTATACTCATG